CCCCCTTGTCAACAATCAGCTGGAATCTAGCAGGTTTTCTGATTTACTTTGCAATTGTGCAGGAAAAACCTGATCCGAATCGGCAGTTCCTGGCTGCTCAGGACCAAAACCCAGGGAGAGTTTTGCCCTTTCAGGATAGTCTCCGGTGGGTTCGCGTAACATCAAAGAGACCCAGATTTTAAAATAAAAGGGCTTTTGCTGAGTAGAAGGTGACCAGACAGCAAGTGTGAAAAATCGGGACGGGGGGAGAGGGGGGGTAATAGGAGCCTATATAAGAAAAAGACCCCAAAATTGGGACTGTCTCTATAAAATCGGGACATCTGGTCTGCCTGGCTGAGTAATAGGCCTTGTGCCAGGGATATGGCAACCCGCTGGGGGAGGGGAATGATAGTGGAGCCTCCTGGCGCATTTGCAGCTCAATGAGCCTGGCTTTGCCTGAGCAGTGTGGGCCAGTGTCTGGGAAGGACGGGGCGCGGTTAAGACCCTGGCCTGGGCCTCAGGGGCTCTAGCCTCAGTTCTTGGCTCTGCCAGATGGTGGGTGGGAGCCTGGTCAAGTCAGTTCTGTGCCCTTCTCCTCCCCTTTGTCTTGTCTAGTGAGACTGTGAGTCACGCGGAGCCAGGGCCTGTCTCTTGCTGAGTGCACGTGCAGTGCGCACCACCAAGGGGCCCCGGACTCGGGTGGGACTTCTGGGCACAAGTCATAGGACGGAGGATTCAGTGGGCCAAGCCGTCCTTGCAATCAGCCCCAGCGTACTGCCTGCCCGAGGCAGATTTTAAATCTGCCTCACGCTTTAATTCCCCTAGAGATTCGACTGGCTCCTAAGGTCAGTATCATCCCAGTTTCCGATGGCCTGGTTCCTAGCCCTAGTTCTCAAGGACTTCTAGTTCCCCAATAAAAGAGAACACAACATTAAATACCAGCAGATGCTCTTTAAACAGCAGCAAGGGGCCGGGTCCTGCAGACATGCCCTGCTGGGAGGTGGTGTTTTACTACCATGAGCCTCAGGGCTTTGGTTATAGAGCTGCCCATCTCTGATAACTGCCCCGGAAGGAGGCAAGGATCTGGGGGTCTGGGCCAGCAGCCTCTCTCTCCAGAACATGTGAGCCTGTGTGTGAGCCGTCGGGAGGTACAGTGGGTGTGCCTGTCACAGCCGCTGCATACCCAGGATCAGTCTCTTTCTGGGGTAGGAAAGGTGCCTTGAAAACCTGCTCCCATCCTGCTTCACGAAGGAGAGAGGTTGGTGTGAGGGAGGGAATCACATTCATTCCAGACCTGAGAGTGTTGGAGGCGCTCCCAGAGTCACCGGGAATCCATCAATGTTTATTAATTTACCCCCACCCTTTTTTTAATTTTCTTTTTAAAAATCTCTCTCCGAGTTAAACAAGTCACTGCAGAGCTGGGCCCGTCCTGCATCACTTCAGGATGGGCTCCATGGCACAGTGGAAGGATTAAATAAGTCCTTGTTTACATCTGTGTAACGGACGAAAGCAAAGCGATGTAGTGAAATGGGCCACAGGTACAGACACATGGCCCCTGCCCCGGAGAGCTCCCAGTCCAGGGAGGAAGTCTGCGTACTGCCATGTGAGGCACGCAGTGAACGGGTTTGAGCCCCTGCTCCGGAGCAGCGTGCCCCCTGCGCTCTCGGCTCGGGCACGCGAAGAGGAGCCAAGCGCAGGCGGGTGTGATGAGCTGAATTCCCTTCCTCGCTCCCCCGTTACAATGGGAGGAAGTTTGGCAAATGCCCATGGGGATGATCGTGTTTGTACATGGGCAGGGCACGTCATCTGCATACACAGTGCGGAGAGCAATATTTATGCAGTGAGGAGGCCTTGCGAGCGAAAAGCACGCGGCCCCCTTGCCACAGCCTTCGGGGGCAGGGGGTCAGTTACAAAACAATAGGCAGAAAGAAGCAAGCGGGGCTCGGTTCGCCCATTCCCAGACTCTCATTTGTTTACCACTCGTCCCCTCCAGCGCAAGGAACACAGGGAGAGAGAACTGTCTAGTGGTTAGAGCACAACCCAGTCCCAGCTCTGCCAGGCCCGGGGGGAGCATGACTGCAGGTGACCCCACTGCACGTCTCTGTACCTGTCTCCTTGGGGGGGATCAGTAGCACTGCCTTGCCTTTCCAGGGGTGGGGGGCAGGTGAGGTTTAACCAAAGCGTGCGGAGCAGCTCAGACATGAGAGGCAAATATGTGTGCTGCTGGCTGATATTATTAACCCGAGAACCTGACTATGAGGTATGTTTCCTAGAGTTCATGTTGCATGTTTCACAGAAGGCAGGTGCCTAAATATCATGGTGGTGGATGGACGGATGGATGGAGGTGTGTGCCGGGGGTCGGATGGATGGACGGATAGATACAGAAGTGTGATTGCGGATAGGGAGAGGGGAGTGCAGGGGTGGTCTGGCTGGCTGGCTAGCTAGAGGGACATGTAGGGGGATGGATAGATAGATGGGTAGGTAGGTAAGTAGGCATGCAACCAAGTCAGCACATCAAGCTACAGCTACAGCATGGCCTTTATCTACCAGTGTAACACCGTCACCTATTGACGACGCACTGTGTAACCCCCCCAGTTCCATTCCCACTGCTGAGGGAAGTAGTCGTTTCCCACACAACCCCTTCTTTGCCTGTTTTTTGTTCCCAGCTGGAGAGCTACATCCAGGAGAATGTGAAAATGGAGCTCGCCGAGATCCAGTTCCACACGGTGCAGAACCACACAGCTGCCATACTGGAGATCGGGAGCAGCCTCCTGAGCCAGACGGCTGAGCAGACCCGCAAGCTCACCGACGTGGAGACGCAGGTAACTGCTGGCTGGGCTGTCTCCCGAGCTGTCCCTCAGGCGCTGAGCCCTGGAGTCGTTGCGTGTGACTCCACGGACTGGAACAAGATTGCATTCATATACCCCAGGGCTGGACTTGGTTCCCCGCTCACGGCAGAGAATGTTCCGCTGCATCTCACTAGTCTCCGTGCATTGGGATTTGTATTTTTTGCTGGAGATCTTTATAAGAAACAGAGGGGAATTTGATGCCACCTCCGGTGAAGACACCTAAATGACAAGTGCACCACGGAAGCTGCTGTGATTTCAAACAGCTTCTCCCTGATCCCCAAAGTTGTAGAAGGTGCACTCCAGCTTTCAGAGGACTGAGGCTGGACACTTCAGAATTGCTCAGCATCTTGCATGCATGTTGCATCCTGGGCTCTTGTGAAAATCTGGCCTTTTGTTTTGGTGCCTACATGGGAGCTGAGCACTCTGGGAAATCCATAGAGCCCTGCAAATCTGTGGATATCCGCTTTATATCCGTGGATATCCGCATGTGGATACCCATGGACCATGTTTGCGGATTGGATGCAAATGCAAATTTTGTATCTGTGCAGGGGTCTAGAAATCCAGCCCCGACGGTGGGTGCTGAGCCCTTGCAAATCTGCCCCCTACTGCACTGAGGGCTCTACCTAATCCCCAGAGTCTTCCTCCCCACCCAAACTTAGGCCAAAATCCATTTCCCCATGCAGGCTGCTCCTCCTGCTGCTGGGCTACGGAGCATGTTTCCCAAACCCACATCCCCTCAGATCCCATCCCTTCCTGACCATCCCAGTCTGGTTTCTTCCCCCCCGCAGGTTCTCAATCAGACCTCAAGGCTGGAGATCCAGCTGCTGGAGAACTCTCTGTCCACTAACAAGCTGGAGAAACAGCTGCTGCTGCAGACCCAGGAAATAAACAAGCTCCAGGAGAAGAACAGGTAAAAATCCCTTCTCTGGGTAGGGCTGTGAGAATGCGGGGATGTGGCTGTCTCTACCACACAAAATAGAAACAGGACAACCCAGCGTGGTCTGGGACTTAGCAGCGTTTCTAGGGCCAGATCCCCAGCTGGCGTCAAGCCACACCACTCCAATGACTTCACCTTCCAGGTGAGGATCTGGCCCAGAGGACTTGACAAAAGTTGTGGGTTTCAGGGAACTCTTTGGCATTTCATGGAACATTTCCCCCTTTCATTTCAAATATTTTTCATGGCAAATTCAGTAAAATCTCATTGTAAGCTCCTATATTGCTAATTAACTGGCAGCCTGTGTTGTGATCATAATAAAGACCCCTGTTTGGATGAAATTCTTGCTCTGGCTTACAGAACAACCAAGAAAAATACAATAAAATACAAAAGTCAGTGCAGCTCACGGGAACTTTTGTTTTGCAAAATGGATCCCAGACTCCAGAACTTTGGAGTTCTCCTCTTGCCTAGAACCTGCCTTTCCAGAAGTGGTTCTAAGCGTCTCCAGGCAAGCGCCCTGCTCCCTTTCCTGGAGTGCGGCGTAGGGAGGTGGGCGACTGTGTGTCTGAAACTCAGGCAGCTGCTGCCTGCACTGACTGTAAAGAAACACGCAGTGTAGTTGTAGCCCTGTTGCTCCCAGGATATTGGAGAGACGAGGTGGGCGAGGGAATGTCTTTTATTGGACCATCTGCTGTTGGTGAGAGAGACAAGCTTATTACAACAATATGTAACCCCGCTAACCCCCCTTTTTGTCCTATGACTGCAGAGGTGTTAATGGGCACTCCACCTTGAACGCTCCCTAGAATATGTGCTAACAATCTGTTCCACCTGCGTGTAGTTGTGCCGCTTGCTCGGAGCATCTTTCCCAGTCCTACAGAAGAGCTCTGTGCGGCTCCAAAGCTTGGCTCTCTCCCCAGTAGGAGTTGGTCCGATAAAAGATATTCCCTCCCCCATCTTGTCTTGTAAATAAATAGGTTGTTGCCCCCACTATTAGGGTGATTAACAGACGCAGAGGGAGCCGGCCGGCTTAGGGCGCCTGCTTGGAGAGGGACGGCTCCGTACTGCACGTCCCAGAACTGCGAAGGGCTTGTGTTAAAGGCCCCCAGTGCGGGTGCCGTGAATGGACTGAGCTCCAGTGAGATCCCCACTGACTGGAGGTGACCACCCGGCTTATGCTTCTGGGAACATTCTCCCTTGTCAATCCTCCCTGCAGCTAAGGCCCCGGCACCGGAGCTGGGAGAGCCTGCCTGGGAGCCAGCCAGCCAGCTCTGGCTGGGAGAGGGGCCTCTGCTAGACCAGGGACTTGTCATTAAAGGGTTTATGGCTCTTCCCCACCCCCCTCGCCCCGGCGGCAGGCGGCCTGTCCCCAGCTCATTGCATTTGGGAAGGACGCTGAGCGCTGTGCTTGGGCTTCATAGAGGCACAGCTTGAAAACGCGTCCCCTAAAAGCTCAGAACACAGGAGGCCGATTCAAGAAAAGCTGGGGTGTGGAGTTTGAAAAGGACACCCTGCCTTTGGAAAGCGTGGGGCTGGCAGCGCTGTGCTAGTGGGGGCCAAAAGCCAGAGCCCCAGAGCCGTGCCTCCCTGGGGACTGCAGCAGGCAGTGGGCAGAATGTGCAGGATCCGTCTGTCTGGTCCTCATCTGCCCCGTACCGTGGTATCTGGGCTCCTTCCGGTCTCTAGTGTGTTTCTCCTCACAGCACCCCTCTGAGGTAAGGCTGGGCAATTATCTCCTTGTGTAGATGAGAACAGAGGCACAGAAACTAAGTGACCCAACCAAGGTCACACCGGGAGTCTGGCAAAGCCAGGAGGGGAAGCCAGGGCTCCCAGGCCCCAGCCCAGGCTGGGCCACCCCTCCTTGGCTCCCTCTCTCTGAGGCTCCTCTTAATCCCCCCCTTCTCGGCCCCCTGCCCCCCAGCTTTCTGGAGAAGAAAGTCCTGGACGTGGAAGGCAAACACGAGGAGGAGCTGCAAGGGATCAAAGCCGAGAAGCTGGAGATGCAGAGCCTGCTGTCCAAGCAAACCCAGCTCATCCGGGAACTGGAGCAGCACCTCGCCACAGCCTCAGCCAACAACACGGTGCTGCAGAGACAGCAGGCGTCTCTCATGGACACAGTGCACCAGCTCCTGAGCCTGGTCTCTCAGTGCAACCGTCAGTACTGCGGGGCGTGGGGGCAGAGGGCTGGGTGTGGCTGCTCGGGAGTTGGGCCCAAGCAATGGCCCAGCTCACTTGGTGCAAGACTGGGGGAGTGTCGTGGGAGCTGCTCCCCGACTCTCAAGCTGCCCCACCCCACTTTAATTTGAGCAGCCTAGGGGCTGATCTAATTTGGGGGGTTGGCTCTGCTCCCTGTGGGACCCTGGGCATAGCATTATCGCCACCAGGCCCCATCCCTTCCCAGCAGGCCCCCTATGCTGGGGTCGGAGGGCTGGCGGAGGAGCCGGCCAGGCTGGGTTTACACCTGTTGAGAATTCCCTCCTCCCGTGGGTTCCCGGCAGATTCTGGGCCACTGGCTCCACTCAGGCGGCTGGAGCAGAGTGCGATGTCAGTGTGGTTGGGACAGTGTGACGTGAGCTGCTAATCAGAGGTGCACAAGGAGCAAGGTCCCATGGCAGCAGAGCCACAGGTGGTGCGGGGCTGGGGGGGGGGCATGGTGGGGTCAGTCCCCCCGGGCAGCGTCTGGAATTGAAGCAGCTGGGGGAAGAGCTGAGTGTCCCCTTGTCTGCTCCACCCAGAAATCTCCCCGGCCCCGCAGGGGGAGCAGAAGGTGTTCCGGGACTGCGGGGGCGTGTACAAATCGGGCCTCACTGCCAGCGGAGTCTACACCCTGCGCTTCCCCAACTCCACAGCCACCACCAGGGTAAGTCTCCAGCCTGGCAGCATCCAGGTGAGCCGGGCCCCCTCCCCGGCCCCCGGCAGACTTGGCCCAGGGTCCGGGATATGCGAGCACATGGCTGCTGGCAGAGCCCCCACCTTGATGTAGCTTATTGACACCCACTAGGAGGGGCCAGTGGCAGAGGGCGGGGAGTGGGGTAAAGCAGAGAGGGGCGGGGAGTCAGGACTCCTGGTTTCTGGTCCCACCTCTGGGGGATGGGAGGTGGCTAGTGTCTGGAGCCGGGCAATGGGATTCTGGTTCTTCCCTCAGCTCTGCCCCGCCGCGTATCCGTCTGCAAACGGGGTCTGCTAGTTGGCTGGGTTAACGAGTGCAGGCAAAGCGCGCCGAGCACCTGGGGGGCGATGTGTCGGAGAGGGGCTGAGCATTAGCATTCCTGAGATGCAGACGAGTATCCCCGGCCCTGAAAAATGGCACTTGTCAAACCAAAACAACCCCCGCCCATCACATCCACCCACCCCACTGGCCCGCTCTGCCTCTCACGGACACCACAGTGGGGATGGTTACTAGCCGGGGCCAGGCCTGGGGATCACAGCTGAGCCCCTGCTTTGGACACGAGGCCCTCGCGCTCTCACGTGGGGCCCTCACGCTCTGGCGTGGGCCACGCCCGCTCGTGGGGCTGTGCTGTATGTGTCCAGCCGTGGCCATGCTGTCCTGTTCACAGGCATTCTGCGACATGGAGACCAGCGGGGGAGGCTGGACTGTCATCCAGCACCGGAAAGACGGCTCCGTGGACTTCCACCGCACCTGGAAGGAATACAAACACGTAAGGCTTCCCCGTCCTGTCGGCAGCCAGCGCCGCCCCGGTGAGGCCGTGGTGTGGGACCCCCGGCATTTCCTCACACTGGGGCAGGAAGAGCTTCCCGTGGAGGCTAGGAATAGCCAGCCACTCCCAGGGACAAAGGGCCCTCGCTTCCCCACCCGGAGCCCCCGGCCGCCCTACACACGTGGGAAGGAAGAAGAGGAGCAGAGGTTACTGCCTTATTGTTCAGGGCATGTGGTGAAGGCCTTGGCTCTGGGTACACGGGAGGCCGCAAACAGGAACCCAGCGATGGGGGAAGGGATGGAGAGCGAGGCCGCCCCTGCACCGCAAGGAGGGAGCTGAGGTTGCCCCCCTGCTGCAGGGTCAGGGCTATTTTCACCGGGGTGTTGTGATGTAAAGACGGGGAGGCACTCAGATACTGTGGTAACGGGCACAGACATCCCATAGACAGAGGGTATGTCTACACTACAGGATTAATCCGAATTTAGATAATTCGAATTTGGGAAACAGGTTGTATAAATTCGATTGTGCGCGGCCACACTAAGCACATTAATTCGGTTTTTAACCACATTAATTCGGTGGTGTGCGGCCACACTACCCCATTACTTTAACCACAGTAATTCGGTGGTGTGCGGCCACACTAACCCTAATTCGAATTAACAAAATCGATTTAGGCGCTACTCCGCTCGTCGAGGTGGAGTACAGAAATCGATTTTAAGTGCCCTTTAATTCGAATTAACTGGCTCTGTAGTGTGGACGGGTGAAGGGTTAATTCGGATTAACGCAGCTAAATCCGAATTAAAGTCGTAGTGTAGACCAGGCCAGAGAGAGGCCATGACCCGGAGATTCTGTGCCACCAACGTTCCTGAATCAAAGCAGGCCAGGCCCTGCTTTCCACGGACGGCCCAGGGTCCAAGGGGGTGTCAAACGTAGATGCCCAAATTGCTAACTGGTCAAGGGAGGGAGGGTTCCCCCCCGGATCCCAGGGGTGGCCCCTCTGCTGGGAGTTGGTTGCGTGTGCTGTATGGAAGGGAACATCAGGAGCCATATCCTTGGTGTTTGGAAAGACCCCAGCTGCTCCAAGTGAGCCCCGGATTGCAGGGCTTCTTCCATGTGGCGGGACAGTTTTAGAAGGTGATATCTCAGCCAGTCCCACCAAATCCATCCCCAGGACCTGCCCACTGAAGTCTGCAGAGATGCACCATGCATGGATTTGGCTCTGTGAGCCCCATGGGCAAGTGGCGACATGGTGAAGTGTCTGGTGCACACACGCACACACACTCTCCACCATTTGAAACACTCCCGTGGAAAAGCTATCTGTGCAGATGCTGGAAAAAGATCTCAGATCCTGGCTGTGGTTTCAGCTCATTCCCATGTGAGTCGTGTGGCTGGCCCTGGAAAGTGGTTTTGTAGCCACAGCGCTGAGAGAGGGGGTGTGGGTGTGGATCTGGGTGTAAGGGAGATTCTGTGTCTTGTCCAAGAAATGGCCTGGTTCCATACATGGCAGGAGCAGGAATGCAGGGGGCTCTGAAACTCCTTCCCCTCATACACTGGCTCAGCCTGTGGTGTTGTGCAGTGCCCTGGTTGGCCTTTCTCAGGCTGTAATGTGATGGAGGGGATCTATCTGGGCACAGCAGGGGTAACCAAGGCAATTGACTTGTGGGCCCTCCAGAGAAGTTACTGGTCAATGAACCATTGTCTGGATTCATTCAGAATTCCAAAGCCCAGCACAGAGCTCCCTGGACCGCGCCTGGATCAGCCACGCGCACTGTTGTGGGGCTGGTAGAGCGAATGATGTGCTGCAAAACCCTGCTTCCTTCCGGGTTCCTTCTTTCAGCCCATCTTGGGCACCTCTTGGCCTTTGCCTGGCTGCACTGAACACTGCGGTGCCACCCACGGGCTTTGTTTTTGGAAAGCCGTTCTAACCAGATCCAGATGCCAGAGCCTGAGGCGTCTCAGAGGCCCAGAAGTGGGAGCTCAATCCCCACAGTGACGCTCTAGTTACAAAGCTACCATTGTACGTACCATTCCCCCAGAGCAGAGCAAAGCAGAGCTGGCCCCTTCCACCACAGAAATCACAAAGCAGGAACCTGGGGACTCTGCTTTCTCGGGTAGCAGCCACTAAGCGCGAAGCCAGGTGAGCCCCAGTGCCGCCGGCTGGTTCTTGGCAGCCCCCTCCTGCTTCATTGGGTTTCTGGTCTTTCCACGCAGGGCTTTGGGTCCCCATCTGGAGAACACTGGCTGGGAAATGACTTCATCCACCGGCTCACTGCTCAGGGCTCCTATTCCCTCCGAATCCAGCTCCGGGACTGGGACAGCAACGAGGCCTATTCCCTGTACGGGCATTTCCACCTGGGCAGCGAGGAGCAGCTCTATCGGTGAGTCTCGCTTCGCCCAGCTTGCTGCGTCGCGATTTGTGCACGAAGGATGACCCCGCCCCGCCCACGATGGCAATCAAGCCCTTGCCAAATCCACTAGGCCCACCTGGGCCTGGAGAGCCAGGATCAGCCTCTGGGTCTCCTGAAGGGGTGGGGGTTAATCCCCGCTCACTCTCATCCCACACAGCAGAGTCCAGAGAGATTTCATGGGCACAGCACGTGGCATGGAGAATCCCCTGCCTTTCCCATGCTGCAGCAGAAGCTCCTCTTGCATTGTGCATGAGCCAGCTGCTGCCTCAGCACCCCCTTGTGGCCTGAGGTTGCTCTGCAGGTGCCCTGCCTCAGTTTCCCCACTTCTCAGGACTCTGTCAGTCAAGCTCTTCTCTCATTCGGCACCCTTTCCCCCTGGGGGCTAGATTGATTAACATCAAATCATTCCCCAAATATAGTTCTCGAATCTGCGGCAAGTCCAGACACGTAGGCTTTCCTGCTGGGGTCTCTCAGGCCTTCCCTGCCCAGAGCCTTTCCCTGAAGACGCAGCGTTCCCTGCTGGAGCCTCCTCCCTCCTGCCAGCCATTCCCTGCCGTGGCAGGCCTCTGCTGAAGTCTCACTCCAGCTTCACTCCTGTTGTCTCTCCCTGAACATCCCCCTTCCTCTGCAGCTTCCTGCTGCTCTTTGGAGGAAAATCAGCTCTTCCGTGCCCAGCTGGTTCTACCAATTAAACCCCACCCTGATCCCAGGTGAGGTGGGGGGAGGAACAGGAGACCTCTCCCAGGTGCAGCAGGCAGGGCTAACTCTATGGGGCTGGCCAGCTCCAGGTCTCTGGACCTCAAAGGGGCAGCTCCCCCCCCCCCC